TAAATTCAATTGTATTGCGTGTCGATAATTATGCCTGTCCAGATTATCTCCAGGGATATGACTTTTGAAAACAAAACAATCTGAGCTGAAATTGCTGCTATTAGTGATATAAACATATTTGTCACAAACATATAGAAAGTGGAAAGTACGTGACATTGATGAAGAAAGAATTCTTTAGCAGCCTAACGTTCCTGTAACTTTTTTTGCAACCATGGAAACCATAAGACAAAATATGGGTACCAAACGGTATTGTACGTTGTAGAAACAGCGTACCTTAGCTGAAAGGCTCTTCTCTAAAATATTAGAATTACATATGGATAAATAAAGAAAAGCATTAATGACAAAACCTTGCTTACAGAGTGCCTTGTTAAAATTGCACCTTATCTATGTCACAAAAGTTGAAGTGGTAATAAGTAATGCTATAACTTGACATTATTGACTCAACTTCTTTACCTTGATATCAGCTAGTTTAGTGACTGGTTCCACGTTTGCGTCATCGGTGCAGAGAATAACAGTTAGAACACCAAACCACGCAATATCAATATCTGCTGAAATGTGAATGGAAACGAGTTTCCAATCAAATAATGTGATAACATTAAACTTTCTTGAACTGATACATGTGAAGAGAAGCAATTTTATTTTATATTTCATAATAAGATACTGAAATCTATCAGTGAGAGAAAAATTATATCGTCACAGTTGCGATACCAAATTATCACCACAACGGTGACATCACTTTTGTAAATGCTTTCTTTTTATTTAATAATTTTGTATATATCATATTTAGACATACATATCCAGCTCTCTCTCTCTCTCTCTCTCTCTCTCTCTCTCTCTCTCTCTCTCTCTCTCTCTCTCTCTCTCTCTCTCTCTATCTCTCTCTCTCTCTCTCTCTCTCTCTCTCTCTCTCTCTCTCTCTCTCTCTCTCTCTCTCTCTCTCTCTCTCTCTCTCTCTCTCTCTCTCTCTCTCTCTCTCTCTCTCTCTCTGCACCATGATGAATAGATAGATCTTAAAATGTTGAATCTTAAAATGTTGAAAGACTGTTTACTCTAAAATAAAATGTATAAATTTATGTATTCAATAAACAGGCCAAATTAATTACCTTTTAATTAGTTTTTCACATGAATTTGTCAGTAACAAACTTGCATGACCTGTTGCTGGTATTAGGTGCTCCACATCACCTATAGAGTATTGTATACTTGTTACACTATATGACAAATGTTACACAATTTGAAGAGAAAGTATTGATTATATAGAGTACTAAAATTGTTTAAGTGGTAGTTTTAATTGTCATAATAATCAAAATCATGTCTGTAACCGATGGAAAAATCAGGAAGATTTTTGTAGATTGCAAAGCGAAATTAAGTTACAATAAAACTTTGGATGCAGTTTTCCGTACTAAATAGACTGCCAGTATACCAACAGATATAAATTCACATACGAATGCAGAAATTAAACAAAATAGAACCCAAATCTTTACAAGTCAATAAACAGCAATTAAAATCGGATGTTTAAGGATGTTACCTTTTGCTAAATGATGATTGTTCTGTCATGTTAGCTATGAGAACCTCCATCTAGTAATGTTGGCTGTATCAATCCGCTTAAGAAAAATATCAACAATTATAAAAAAAAAACTAATCATTTTAATACCAAAATATTTAATCATTTAACAAATACACAACCTGAAGTATTATATAAACAATCTAAAGTTGTTAAAAGTCGACGTTTTAAAATGAGTGTAAACAGACGGAACTTCTTTCTATAAATGTAGTAATGCAACAGGTAAGCGCAGTTTCATACAATGTCGAAAATTCCATACAAATCGAAGCCTTTTGCCTAAACATGCATGCAGCACAATGACAAAGGCAAAACCTACAACGGTCCTTACTATACAAAGTCAAATGCTGTATATCAACATTATCGTTTAATAAAGTCGAGGTCGTCTTGACATCATCACAGGACTCACCTTTTAGAAAACTGATCAGTTATACAACTTTGAGCTCCGAGCTCAGATGGGCGAATATTATCACACAAATATAAGAAGGAGAGAAATGGCTCAAACAGTGTGAAGGTCGTCTAAGTTTTTATCTACTGATGACTCAAATGAATTAGGATTAATCGCTTTTCGTCTTCCAATGCACGTGCTATCATCGCCACCTTTACTTAGAATTGTCCAATATATATATATATATATATATATATATATATATATATATATATATATATATATATATATATATATATATATATATATATATATGGGTCCGTTTCTTTGACGGAAATCTGTAAATATTAGCATTATATATCCAGCATTTAGCATAACTTGTGATGAAAAAAGCAATTTTAATATTAATTTGCAAAATGATAATTGAATATCTGGAGATCAACTTTATTATGGTTTACAGAAGGTTCATGCCACGATGGGAGATAATGAAGACGATAATAGCTTTGGTTTTTTATAATGATTTATATAACGTATTGTATTTATGTTGTAGGACAGTAATGGAAAACGTCAAAGCCTGCGAATGTGCCAAACGCGTTTTAACATAATATGTGAACTACATGGGCTAATAATGGTAGTACTAACAGCACCACAATCTTTCCACACATAATGAAAAGTCGTTTTGATCAAGTTAGTTAGATACATTAGTGCGCGCGCACACACACACAAAGACACCCACATACACACACACACACACACATATATATATATATATATATATATATATATATATATATATATATATATATATATATATATATATATATATATATATATATATATATATACACACACACACACACTTTCATTCCGCCACACCCACGCCACCGCATAAATAATATAGATGTGAATATGCCCGGAAATGCGTATTGATCTTGTCATCATTTTACTGAGTACACTACTGTGTCATCTAAGGTATAACAAGATCCCAAAGGCTTGGCGGTAATATAAGTATGTCAATTTAGAATTAATTGTATTACACGTTTCTGTGACGTATACACAGCTTCCCAGACTACGTCATCAAAAAGCGGTGACAGATGGTGATTAAAATTTACGTGGAAAGTGGGAGGGGAAGTTGCATTTTCTAATGACACTATAACTAACGTGAAACATTCTTAGAAGTACTCGGGAAAAGAGCTGGTTAGACAGAAATTCGCATGGATAGGTAAGTCTCACTACTTTCAACTGAATATATCATGCGGCCGGTTACATACATTCTTGACTCTTCTCCTTTATAATCAATTTAGTATCTACTGTCATTTGTATCTTGTATGGTTACTAACTGGAACACGTACTCTTTATGGTCATCTACTGCCACATGATGATACTCAGGGTTGCATTGGTTTTATTGATCTGGACGTTACTGCAAAAATAAATCATGATTTCAAGCCAGACTTAATTGCGCTTCTGATATGTCCGGTTTGGACATTATGGAATGAGAGTTTAGTATCCGCATATCGTTACCCGTTACTGGCATTTGGTCATCCTCTTAACTATTGCCCACACCACGCAGGTTTCCTTATTATCGCTTTTGAACTCATTTATATTCCAATAAACATGCAATAACTGACAATTTCATACTGAGTCACCTAAGATCTCTCTTTATTCAATGCAGGTAAGATTTCATCGAAATCCTTGTGTAAAACTAGTTGAACTTTACGTCTACAAAAAAGTTACTCAGAACATTTCAGATTGGTCGAAATCGTCAGCGTTCAATGTGTGTAACCTTTTTTAACCAGTCTGAAGCCGAAGACTTGAAACGTATTGTCCTTTATTAGGAAACATTGGTCAGAACTTGTTTTACAGACTTTTTAATTTTTCGTCTTTAATTATTATCATTAATGAATGGGTTGGAGTCGAAAATTTTGGAATTCCTGATGGAGTGATAATCAGACAGATTGTTTTTATTCGACACTGATTACAGCGTATCCAATAGTGCATGAACAGTTCAGTACAAGAGTTTTCAACCAACGGAAGAAAGTCGTACATATAGGAAGTAGAGCAAATCCCTGTAATATAGTCATTCAAGCTATGATGATGAACACCTTTTATAACTTAACAATAATAATATGGTCAGTATACACACCTTTATGTTATACAATATCCTAATATGGTCAGTATAAACACCTTTATACTTTATAATATCCTAATGTGGTCACACCTTTATACTTTACAATATCCTAATATGGTAAATATACACACCTTTATACTTTACAATATCCTAATATGGTCAGTATACACACCTTTATACTTTACAATATCCTAATATGGTAAATATACACACCTTTATACTTTACAATATCCTAATATGGTCAGTATGCACACCTTTATACTTTACAATATCCTAATATGGTAAATATACACACCTTTATACTTTACAATATCCTAATATGGTCAGTATGCACACCTTTATACTTTACAATATCCTAATATGGTAAATATACACACCTTTATACTTTACAATATCCTAATATGGTCAGTATACACACCTTTATACTTTACAATATCCTAACATAGTCGGTATACACACCTTTATACATTTTAATATCTTAAAATGATCGATGCATAAAGATTAAATATCTGAAGGAATAAACTGATTTTCCTGGATCTGATAATTTTTAAGCTTAAAAAATGAATGCATTTGCAAAGATCCAGATAAACTAATAAACTTTTCTAATAGTAAATTTTGTCTTTAAGTTTTCATATGTACTAAAGGTTATAAAATCAAACATAATACTTATAAACTTCTCACCTTTATTATGCCAAGATTAAAAGCACCGTTTAATCCGCAATATTTTCATTTTCGAAAATATGTAGATTTAACTATTCTTTCTAATTGAACAATATAGTTTCTGTAGTACACTTTTGTCTAATTGCCAAATACATCTACCCAAAAAGGATTTTCGTCATTATTGTTTTATTTTTTTTTTTACTTACTACATCCCAAGAATTGGACTATCCTTACCCAGATAGTTTGATAAAGATACAATCCCAACATTTATTAGGGGTTAGAGCATCCGCCTCGTATGCGGGAGGTCGTGGGTTCGATCCCCAGTCGAGTCATAACAAAGACTTTTAAAAATAATGCTAACAGCTGCCTCGCTTGGAGCTCAGCATTAAGAGGTTAGTGTTAGGACTGGTTGGCTTGGTGTCAGGATAATGTGACTGGGTGGGACATCATGCTACAAGTCTGTGACATGATGCTCCAGTGCTTGACATCACTATAAACTGCCACACTTCAGACATCTTAGCGATATGACCGAAACATTGTTAAAGTTACGTTAAAAATCATAATCACATTACATCACATCTATTTGGTTGAAATAGTATTTTGATCTATAGTATTTCTGTGCTCGAATGATATTATTTAGATTCACCGTATTTAGTACACCATTATCACGGTTTTGTATAAATATATCCCTTTTAATCTGCCATTTATGCCATGCCAGATAAATAAAGAAAATGATTTAATTAAATTTTGTAAAATATTAACAGATGGGTAGAAACATATGATTAAGCATGGAGAGAGTTAGAGGTTTTTGAACATTTACTTTTTCAGTGTGATCCAATATTCGTTTTGATCACAGATCAATTACTTAGTGTATCTTTCGATTGTATTTTTCATAATTAATATTTATCATTTAATCTAAATTAATCGAAAACTCCAAAATGGTGATCCATCATACGGCTCTTCCAGGAAGATGTTCAGGAATCGTATCAAACGTGTTTTCAGTCAAGAATCGTATCAAGCAAGTTTTCAGTCAGGAATTGCATCAAGCATGATTTCAGTCAGGAATCGCATCAAGTATGTTTTCAGTCAAGAATCGTGTCAAACATGTTTTCAGTCAGGAATCGTATCAAGCATGTTTTCAGTCAGGAATTGTATCAAGCATGTTTTCAGTCAGGAATCGTATCAATCATGTTTTCAGTCAAAAATCGTATCAATCATGTTTTCAGTCAGAAATCGTATCAAGCATGTTTTCAGTCAGGAATTGTATCAAGCATGTTTTCAGTCAAGAGTTGTATTAAACATGTTTTCAGTCAGGAATTGTATCAAACATGTTTTCAGTCAGCTAAAGTTTACGATCGGAGTAGTCTCATGATAAGGTACGTGTGAAAAGGTGCGTGAGATAAGGTACGTAAGATAAGATACGTGTGATAAGGTACTTGTGATAAGGTACGTATGATAAGGTGCGTGTGATAAGGTACTTATGATAAGGTACGGATGATAATGTACGTATGTTATGATACGTGTGATAAGGTATGTATGATAAGGTACGTGTGATAAGGTACGTGTGATAAAGTACGTATGATAAGGTACGTGTGATAAGATACATCTGATAAGGTACCTATGATAAGGTACGTGTGATAAGATACGTGTGATAAGGTACGCATAAGGTACGTATGATAAGGTATGTGTCATAAGGTACGTGTCATAAGGTACGTGACATAAGTTATCTTCCAAACAATGTGCCAATGTTCAGTCCACTTGACTTGAAGTTTTTATGGTTTCCCTTTCTTTCTCATGTTTTGATGTAAACACACATAGTCACTATAGCCGAGATACTGGGCATGGATCCTGAAATCATAGATGGCCTTCTAATACAGAATAACGGTTGCAAAATTTCGCTTGCACATCCCCGTTTGCTCCTCATATTAACTTTCTAATTTTATACTTATTCTTTGGGGCTTCGTCTGGTAATATTCCTATCAAAATCACTGCTAGACTCGGTCTCAGCATGTTCATTGTGAATCAAGATGAAGTGTGGTCAGATGCTCGGTAAGATATTTGTTCTCTGATTGGTCATCGACGTACGTTGCTTGCATCTTTCCACCAACCCACTGTAATGATACTCATAAGGAAACGTTTGCATTTTGTTAATTCTAGTATAACACAAAGCTCTTTCAAACTGTAAGCCTTTTCAGAAGAAAACATAAGGCGCGCAAAATCTACAAGTAAATTTTCACTCGAAACACTTTAGCAGCTGGGGTAGCCTGAATATTCCAATAAGATGCATGTACGTGTTTCCCTCCTTCGACTTTGAAAGAGGTCACATAATATCCTGCTGATGTTGCTGGTACGCCACAAAGTTTCGCTCGCGGCTTCCGATAGGGGCTCTTGTGCTGAGTGCAAACGAGCAAGTAGCACAATATTCATCAATATTGATCCTCATACCAGAGCAGTTGTAACATTGTTGTATATTGTTGAGTGTTTCGTCGACTCCTACATCCCCCCTGGCGATTTTGATTTGACAGTGTTTGAAGACCTTCCGCAGCCAAATGTATGGCAATATAATAAAAAAATTTAATTAACTTGCCAGATCGACCAAGCCAAATTTTCATGAGCATCCAGTTAAACATTTTCAACAGCTTGTACTTTACCCCCACAGGGTTTTGGTTTCATCATTATCTCCAGGGAGGTGCTCTTACAAGAAGTCATATAATGATAATTGCTTCAACTAACAGGACAATTGTCCCTAGGACTCTTTGAAGTTCATGAAGCACCGCAGGCTTCTGTGTTCAGTGCGCTCGTTGAAAATCTAATGCCGTAATATTGGTCTTGAAATCAACCAGATAACATGTACCACCGACAACAAATCATGACGCGTAACATGATATTGGTGTTGAGTCTTATACAGACAAAGACTGGCATCTGGTATCACCCTTTCTTTATCATCATTTTTTGGAAAGGACCGCTAGGCCGGGCCCTAGGGAAAGGCGAACTAGGCAACAGCCTTGAGCCCCATTCTTGTCCGCAATACAATTTTTTGCTTGAAGCCCCACGCTCATCGCTTAATGCCTTGGTCCCCGTATGCTGTCTTGGACCCCGCACATCCTCTGACTGGGCCTGAGGACCGCTCCAATTGCTTCGTGATTCGTTCTGTATCTTGAATGAAAGGAAGACTGAATGTGCCTTGTTATAAGGGTATCCATTTATTATTGCTTATCAAAGCAGTGAAACGCTTTTTATTGGCACCATACATATTAGTGTTATAGCAATTCTGTGTAACTGGCATTCAATTTCCCCAAGATTATTACTCTACCGTAATACGAGTAATGTAGCAATTCTGTGTAACTGGCGTTCAATTCCCCCAAGATTATTACTCTACCGTAACACGAGTAATGTAGCAATTCTGTGTAACTAGCGTTCAATTTCCCAAGATTATTATTCTACCGTAATACGAGTAATGTAGCAATTCTGTGTAACTGGCGTTCAATTCCCCAAGATTATTACTCTACCGTAATACGAGTAATGTAGCAATTCTATGTAACTGGCGTTCAATTCCCCAAGATTATTACTCTACCATAATACGAGTAATGTAGCAATTCTGTGTAACTGGCGTATAATTCCCCAAGATTATTACTCTACCGTAATACGAGTAATATAGCAATTCTGTGTAACTGGCCTTTAATTCCCCATGATTATTACTCTACCGTAATACGAGTAATGTAGCAATTCTATGTAACTGGCGTTCAATTCCCCAAGATTATTACTCTACCGTAATACGAGTAATGTAGCATTTCTATGTAACTGGCGTTCAATTCCCCAAGATTATTACTCTACCGTAATACGAGTAATGTAGCAATTCTGTGTAACTGGCGTTCAATTCCCCAAGATTATTACTCTACCGTAATACGAGTAATGTAGCAATTCTGTGTAACTGGCGTTCAATTCCCCAAGATTATTACTCTACCGTAATACGAGTAATGTAGCAATTCTGTGTAACTGGCGTTCAATTCCCCAAGATTATTATTCTACCGTAACACGAGTAATGAAGCAATTCTGTGTAACTGGCGTTCAATTTCCCAAGATTATTACTCTACCGTAATACGAGTAATACTCATATAGGGATTAGGTTTAATCAATACAGTTTTGATAAAAATTAAGATTTTCGTGAAAGGGAAGATACACACCAACTATAAAGATTGTAATATACTTCATTGCTTTTAATTTTTTTTAATTTAGTTCAAAGTATTAGATCATTAGTGTAATTCGGTTTCTTTTACTGAGCAGGACAAGGTGGTTTTAATCATAATTGGTACTCTACCTCTTTAACCTTTCTAGATTAGATTTTTTGGCCATGTCTGTGCAACACATGTAATCAATATGTAACGTATCCAAAACGTTTTCCCCTTTGACAGTGTGTGCCAATATATGACTGTGATATTACATCCTAATAACTCAAGTAAATAACCCACAAATAATCCAGATGGCATAATTTCTCTGATATTCTAAATAAGAATATGGAGAATGTTGTTAGGCAAGCAAAGCAAAAGAATACGATTAAAGACGATTATTGTGAGTCATGGGCGTCAAAGTTGTCAGGCTTATGATACTAGTCATCATGGCAGCAGACTTTGTAATAATCATCACAGACATCATCTTCGTCGTCTTCAAAATATATGTTCCTTTTACCACGTTGTAAGACTAGCTTAGAATTATGTTCACTGGATTCATTATCAGCGCGTTTACGATTTCGTTTATATTTGTTTCTGGTTGTTATATTTTGCACGCAGTTGATAAACCAACGCCGGCATGTTACAGCATTTGGCGAAAATGTGTTTCTTCTGAGGTAATATTTACCATCACTATTAAATATAATCAAAGTACTGCTATGGAAAATTCCAATATAGAGTACTATATCCCAATATGATATTATCACTGATCATGTAGTTTGATTGTTAATATTTCCGAGGTAGTAATCGAAGCTTTTCTCTGCGCGATACACCTATAACGATTTCACGTGTGTCATCAGTCCATGCTTACCGTTTACTGTTATATAATTGGCTTTGGAATATCTGTGTGCTGTTACCGATTTTTTTTTTCGTTTTAAGTCATCAGTATAGTCGAATTCCGATTGGTCTTTGGTTGTCTTTTCTTGCTTGTTTGTATTGTTTTCTACATGTGAAAATCGTCTCCATTAGGTTCCGTACTTTCGAATATCTAAACCTGCTTAGTACAGGTTCTGGGCTTAAGTGTCTAGCAGTGGCTTCTGCATAACTAATGACAGCACCTACCTTTCCGAATATTCATCTGAAACGCTTACTAGTGAAAATTTCTGCCATGG